CGAGCTGACTCACGCTCGCTTGCAGAGGATGGTGCAGGCACACTCCAGCAGAGGTGGCCTGAAAGATGGGCCCCTGGAAGATGCAGACTGGGACTTGTTTGTGGATGGTAACAGCTTTATGCGAGACAGAATACAAAGAAGAGGATATGCAGTGACAACGGTAAAAAAAGTAATCGGGGCCAGAGCTCTACCACCTAACATGTTGGACCAGAAAACACAACTTAGGGCTTTTCTAAGAGCCCTGAAGCTGTCAAAGGACGGAATTGCTACTACTGGCAAATATACCTTTCCCAGCTACTGCAATGAAATGGGCATCGGTACCTTTTGGTAATGGTACTTTTTCAGGCTGGCCAGAGGCTTTTCCTTGTCACACCAATAGTAGAAAGAGAGGTATTAAGGGTGTTACTGAGAGAAATAGTACCAGAAGCATTCCCCTGCAGAACAAATAAGGCGAGAGAAGTATTGAAGATTTGGAGTTTTCTCAGTAATATCAGATAGGGGAACACACTTTACTACAGAACTAACACAGCAAATTGGTAGAGCACTCATAATTGAAAATGCCCACTATGAAGTCATTAACACATTAGTAAACATAGCAAACGCAAAGAGTTGCTGGGGGCACATAACCTCGTCTCGTACGGGAGCTCCGGTACCTTTGTATGGAATTTCTGTGAGTCTAAGCAATGGGGGTTAGCCTTTTAATAATACTTTGGAAGCACATTGTACCCAAGTTGGAGATCATACTAAAGGGCCCCGATCTGAATTACAAAGTATTGGAAACTCTGCGTTTATTAGTCTCAAAGGCACAAGTGGCTTAGGAAACATTTGTATAAACTACACAGCTTTAGATGGGACAATGTGTAAATAATGCAGGTCAAGCCAACAGAACTAAGGTCAGGGGCTTTAGAAATAATAATTCTGTGAACTGATTGCCAAGAGGCCTATGCTAGAATTTGATGACCTGTGAAAACGACTTAGCCCTGGTTACCTCACATTGCTTGGCTAAAACCACCCTTTGCGTTTGTGCTGGGACTGACTGTGTTAAGTGTTTTAATGTGTATTATCATTCAGTGCTCTCTCTGATGTTTTCAAATTAGTGTGAATAGTGACAAGGACTGGAAAAGAAATAGGATTAGACCACAGGTAGAGACGGGCAAATCTTTTAAGAAAGTTTTAATTGGCAATGGTGTTTTATAGAATTGACAGTTGGCCAAAAATTTGCAATGTATTTAGAAAAGGGGGGAACAGATGTGAGGTTTTAGGGCTATGGGACTTCAGAAATAGTTTAGACTGTAAAACTCATTAGGTTGTGAAGCCACTTGGCTAAGAAAGTCCTGCTGCAAAACAACAGAAGGACTCAAAGCAGCAAAACAGTCTTGAGATAAGGAAGCTGCTTACAGCTGTGAGAAAAGCCAGTGTTTAAACTGACAGAGGAAGCACAAACCAGCCAAGGTCAGAAGTGTACAGTGAGGAAGACTCAGAGCCTTCATCAGAAGACCACCAGAGCCACTGATGAGCACCCAAGGACCTCAGGGTGCATGTGGGTCTAGGTGGGAATTTACAGAAATGAGTTCTCAGAGAAGTTATGAATATGTATGTATAATACTTGCTGATTGGGGGCTAGAGTTGCTCCTGATCAGCCCAGCCCTGCAATAAAGAATACCTGCTTAATAGACACCAAGACTATTGAGTCCTGATTTCAGCTTTTCACCACATGGAAATCTTAACAGCTTTTCGAAAGCTAAATGAAATTTCAAGTTATTTTCTATTCATTTAGTTTTGTCCTTCGGCCAGATCCGACCTACAAGGTTTTACTTACCTCAGAATGGTTAAAGCTAACCAAGTGCAGGTTTGTGATGGACGGGGCTCGGGCTACTATGTACACACCTGGAGCACAGGAATATATCATTATATGAAATATTTATATAGCAAGGCAAATTTTGCTTTACCCTTAATAGAGCAACAGTAGTAAAGCAGAACGACAGCTGGTGTAACTAATCAGTTTCCATCAAGCCCATAGGATCATGGTATTAAAATTGCTTTGTGCATTTCATATTTAGCAGCTTTATAAACCAATTCTTTAGAAGACAAATTATACTGTTTCAAAAAAAGTAACTGAAGAGCCATCTCTGCAAAACCATTAATAGCAGTATTAACTGTCACTGGTTAAAAATGTAGGTGTGGGAAGCCAACTTTTATCTTGAGGAAAACGTGGAGTAAAAAAAAAAGAACAAGACCAAGATATTCTAAATTTTTATCTAATATTTTGAACAAGCAGAACTTTGCAAGAAAATAATTCTAAAGACTGAAAAATATATTAATTACAAGACTTGTTAATGTCTTTACTGTTACAAAAATTATCTAGGCTCTTATACAAATCTATAGCCAGAAGGAGACTTTCATAAAAAAATAAATAGGCACCCTAGGTACGTTAAAACAAGTTATCACATATTAGTTTGCAAATATTACATACATACATACATGGAGTGCAGAGTCAAATATAAAAACAAAGGTGCCTTGATTAGCTGTCTATTTACTATAATTAAATACCTGGTAAACACAGGTCACATGGAAAGTGGTCTGGTAAGATTGCTTCAAGCAAAGCAAGGAGTTTGAAGTACATCTAAATTAATGCAGCTACTTTAAAAATAAGTTTACCAGTTGTGCTCACTGGAAGCCAGATCCATTGGTATCAGTAATAGGCATTCATATTGCTCATTGTACAGAAGTAGGAACGTTACTATGCATGTTTAAAAATAAGTGTTCTAACAATTCACAGTTGTTGCTGTGCTATTCATACATAAAAATACTGTTATTTCAAATACGAGATTTTTGTAAAACATTTTACAAATTATACATTATTTACAAATTCCAATAATCTTTGTTTTTACACAAGTATTAGACAGTTTTACTTAACTGGCTTTGTATATTATGTAACATTGCTAGATGACCTAAAAAAGTTGAATTTACAGGTTCTGAAATCTCCCTCAAAAATAAAACAATTAGGAATCTTTCAAGTTCTTGCATTTTCAGAGTTCTTTTTTCTGTATTCAACTGATTTTCTTACAAAAGGTTAATTTTAAGTTCCTGTTTACCAGCAGCCATACCTAAACATGCATTATTTCCACTATGCATTCTAGAATCCATTGTTTCCAAGTGCTACAACAAATTTTGGTAGAGAAGGTAGAAATAAGATGATTAACCTGACATACCTGGTTTGTTGCATATATCATTTTCCAGTTCTGCTTTAAGTTACACGTAGTTTGAAAAAACCCAAAACTGAATGTGAGTGACACAGAATAACCAGAACTACTCTTAAATGTATACCTTAAATAATCATGCCAAACAATTGCCAGTATGTGGTTGAAGCACGATAATTCACATAAGGTTTATGAACATAAAAAACCCCAATCAATCCTTTCTAACAGTGCAAGTATAAGCAAGAGTGTTTATTACACATACTTAACCTTCCTGCAGTATTTTCATAACTAAAAGGCATTAATGTTTAGATGTAATCAGCAGCACCCCAAGTTAACACTCTAATACCAATAATGGCAAAATTTAGCCTTTTTGGATTGTGTCAGACTTTGCTGACGTGGATTCTAATTATATATTTTTCTTCTTAAGACTGAACCAGTACTCTAAGCGCCTGCCTCCGACACCCCATGACACAGCAGGTCACTTCAAACCCTCTGGGCTGCAAAATCCTGTTGACCCCTCCTCTTACCTCCCTGGGCCATGTGCTGGGCCTAAGCCCTCACCAGGTAGTTCCATGCAGTAGTGGAACCAACCAAATAAAAGCCAAACAAATGCTCCTCTTGGTTACTGAAATAAATCAGGTTAACCAAAGACACAGTAAATGTCAGAGCTGCCAAAACTGCAGGGCAGGGTGCTAGAGCAGGGAAAGAATCCTCTTTTCATGTCCCCTCAGCTGCAGGTTCATTCAGCCTATGGTGCCAGTACAGAAGGGATCTGCTCTGAATAGGAAAAAATAGTAAAATCCAGTGTCTGATCCCCATGAAACCTTGCTCAAAGTGTCAAGCTGAAAAAAAACATAGGAAGTTCCATAAATAGCAGCACTGACTTGGTATGCAGCTGTAGAATAAATCATAACTAAACAGAAGCACTAAATACAATCTAAAACCTTAAAAAACCCCAGTATTTCCTAATAGTATGATAAATCTGTATTTTAAAATTAGCATCCTATCCTACTCTACCAGTTTGTAGCTTATATGGTTAAACTTAGTAAGTTAAAGTATAGAGCTTATAGAGGGAACAAATCTGGTGTTTAAAAATGTATGCTAACATAGAGCAGGTACATTAGGGCAGTCTATTCCTGGAGTTTACTTGAATTCCCTTTGAAAAATCTTATTTAACGCTTGCAAACCTACAAACGTTTTTAAGGAATTATTATTAAGGCTTTTCAAATAAAAACTTAGAAATGCGGTGGGTAAACTTGTATTAAAGACACTTCAAGGTTTTAGAAAGCAGCGAAGACAGTTGAAAAAAAAAAACAAACACCGTGTCACCTCCTGTTACCTATCAAGACAACTACTGCTCTATTATAACTACATTTACTGCATTATATACACTAGTGTGTTTATCCCTTTTGTTAGGCTCAGTGTGTAGTGAGCACAGTCTGAAGGAACGCTTTGTAACTGCAACTAACAATCTTCTTACAAACTTAGTAACAACATCAAGTTGATCCCACTGCTTGGTCCCACTGAAAGGGACCAACTGCAGAAGACGAACTGAGTAACAGAGGTAAGCATTAAGGCAACTAGAGTAACAAATCAAATAACCACAAGTTTAGCACCTCTTCTCCTCTGTACACCTCTATTTGCATATTCATTTGAACAGTCATAACTCCTAAGCAAAGCGCAGTCAACCGGGTACCTGGTTAACACACACACACCGCCCAAGACTCGAGGTTTGTGCAGATTTACAGACTACATGAAATGCAAGTCAGATCCAGATTTTTTTTTTTTCTTTTTAAGAATCTATCTACTACAGTGTATGCCTTCTGCATTTGCCTTGTACCTTTGCTCGGATGTGGGATGCCTAGGCTCAAGGGTAGCATGGTATGTGGCATTCAGTTCTGCTCCAGCTGCCGGAGGATGCTTTTCTTTGTGGAAACTTCCGCTCTCTGGAAAATACAGCTTGGGCCTCTGATGATATTTCATCCTGTATGTGTCAGTCATACAACTATCTACCGAAAAATACGTTGTTAGGGCTACGCTATCATTTCCATCCACGTAGCCAGCACTTGGTCCTGTATGACGAGATCCTTTCTTTACAAAGTTTTCAGACACGGTCCAGAAGTCATTAACTGGTAAGCGAGGCGGAGAATCCGGTTTATGAACAAACAGTTCACTCCCTTGAAACGGGTCTTTAAGCCTTTGCTCATTTGTGAATACCCTTGCTTCTGATGTAGATTTTAGGTGTGTACCTGTTTGCCTTAATGGATTATTTTGCAACACTTCTGTCGATTTTAGATCAGCTGTCGAGTTATTTTCGGATCCTGACAAAGCGTTCAGAGCGTATTTCTTAGGTGGTAAAGGGGGAGGAAGATTCTGGTACACTGCTTCAGGCACCCAAACACCATCTGCCCTTCGGAGAGGGTGCCCTGCATGCTCAGCGGGAGGGGGAAGCACCATGGGCCTTTCCGACAGGTTCTGTGGCACACAAGGCGACAACCCCACCTTGGGACCAAACGTTCTTGCGTGATGAGACTGCGGCTGGGAAGAGGAGTGAAAGTCACTGTTGATCAGCTTCCTTCCACACACATTTTCTGTGTAAGGGTGGGATACGCCATCGGCACTGTAGACTGACACATTCAACTTCTCAAGCTTGTCTGGATTAAGCCACTCCAAAGAATTCTGTTCATTTGCCCTGTTCCTACTTTCCGACTTAATAATGTCTTTAACGATTGGCTGTAAAGCTGATGATGGGAAGAGTTTCCTACTCGTCTCAGGCATTTCAGCTCTAAAATACAGAAATACACACAATGTAAGTATCCATAAACATAAGGAGCAGCTCAAAGAACCCAAGGATTTTTTTTCAGAAACACCCACGGTAACACTCCTTAAATATTCAAACTGACTAAAGAATTGGGATCTATTTAACATACAGCTATTTGATTACAAGTTGTATTAAATCACTCCAAGATTTCTTTCACTGAAAATGTCAAGTGCCCCCCCAAAAATCTCTGCAAGAGAATGAGTATCTGTAAAGTAAGATGAATTTCTTCAACACTCAGGACTATGTCAAATATGAGCTCTGCTCTCTTCCATAAATTCCTGTGACTCAGTCCGATACATCCACTTTTCAATTATTACATGTCCTTTTGGGTACTAAATTTGTATTGAGATTGTTGATTTTTAGGAGATGCTGAGCACTTAACAGTCCAAATTACAAACAAGGGGTATATAGCAAGGAGCAGCTTCTAAACACAAGTTGCCCTTTCCTGCCCTTCCAGCTAAACTCTTCTAAACTTTATGGGGTTATTGTGCTAATCACAAGCTGGTTAATCACTCCCTGCTGTAGTATGTAATATTTTTCATTTCAGAATTTAAAACCCTTGACCCCACTAAGATGGATTAAAACGATGTAAGCTTATTTGCTTCCACTGACCATCAAAGTTCAAATAAAGACAGTGCATTTAACCCTTTCAATTATAAGAAGTACAAAAGGCATTGCCCGTGAAAAAGATTCAATACCTTAACTTTTGCATGCTTAATATTGATTACTATCACTTCACAGAATTCGGTATTTCTTCAACTATTACACAGTAATTTAATACCAGTACTAGTTACCTCTTTACTGGAGGACTGGGCACCTGCACATGTAATTCTGTGGGGAAGTTCACGTGAGGTCTGTAGTTAACTTCTGAATTCATCTGGTCTTTTCTCTGGTCTGGGGGTAGGAAAAAAATTAACATGAGCAGAAACGCATTGCAATTCCTTCTTTGTAATTCCTCAGAGGTTATAAAACCAAACAATATATAACACAACAATTAATTCTTTTCAAGATTTGACATTGATCAAAATAATTTTGAATACAATCTCTCACAGGTCAGATTTTAGATCATCTTAACATTTTATCTAATTCAAAAGTACATTTTCAAATGCGGCTTTCCATAAAAGCTTCTTCATTCAAACATCCAAAGTAACTGCAGTTCCTACTTACGATGTCTGAAATTTCACCTCAGATAATAACAATTACATATAATAATAACTGTAGGGATTGGAGTTGGTTTTGTTGCTGTTTGTGGGTTTTCTTGGCAACAGATTTAAAACTTAGAGCAAACTGTACAGTTCATAGAGATACTGAGGAGACAGCAAGAACTCAAGAGTCAAGTGCCCTAAACATACAGTGTGAGAGTGCCTGGACCAGCACTGCTCCACTCGCACTCTAGAAGCTCCATTTATTCACAGGCAAAGAATTATTCTGCAAAAAATACACCACTTGTGAACAATGCAGCTCCTAGTTAACAGTAAATAAAGGAAGCATTGAAGTATCCATGTCAACTCCACATAGAACAAAATCCTCTTTTGAAATTGATATTACAAGTCTTCCAGTGCAATGATTGTCCCGTTACCATCAGTCACCTGCTCTGAAGCTATTCAAAGGAAGTTTTTATTTTGTGTATGTATAGGCTACATTCATAGTCCTAGTAGTTCTATTTCAGAAAAGCAGGAATTGAAAAAGACAGCCCACGCTGCCTTACTTCTAGTACAATCACCTTGTGTTCAAACAGTACATACTCAGCCAATTTCCAACTATAGATCATAGGCTGTTACATACTTTCATCAACATAAGCTACCAAAGTTGAAATAAAGTCCTGGAATATCAGACTAGTGAACATGAGGCAAAAACCCAATTAACAGAAAATAACTCAAAACATTTGAGTGATACTTGTTTTGAGGGTCAATAGCTGCCTCATGTTTAACCGATTTAATACTCAAGATACTAAATCTTTGTCACAGAACACGAGCTCTAGAGGCTATAGCAGCAGACAGCCCAAAAGACTAAGCCCTCATATGATTTTCTTTCAAGCCTGACAGTGAGAAAATGAGGTACATAAAATCTGGCTATTTTGTCATAATAAACAATATCACAATCTTAGAAAGAATACATGTGGAAAAATACCCTTACTGAATAATCCTATGTGACACTGCCAAGGGACAGTTCAGAACTGTTCCAGCAGGCCATGACATCAGAGCTAAAGTAGCACTGAGTAAATATTTCAAATAGAAAACATTTTGTTCTGCCACAGATTTTAATGAACTGTAAGTCAGTTTATTATGAGGGGGGGAAGGGGAAAGGGAAGCACAGGCTTTGGCACATTATTTCCTCTGAATATTTGCAATTCAGTATATAATCTCAGTCCCAACATCAGGACACAGTCCTAGGAAGGAGTTACCTAAATAATTTACAGTATAAATTGTGTCTGAAGCTAGTGCTTTAAACTTCCAGATTTTATCAACTTACATACAAGAGCACGTGCACTTAAAAATAGCAAATAAATCGACCATACAGCTGCTTTTTAATTCCCCAAACAGCCTGCTGCGAAGCTTCCAGATTTTAATTTCTAGTTTTTACTCCAAGCCAAACTCCTGAGATACTGCCCTTCCAAGAGGCAGTATCGCAACCCGGTCAGGAGGTGGCAGCAAAAGTTAAGAAGCTGCATTTCCTCGGTGTGACCAGCGCACACATTCATCCAAAGCCCCTCGGAGACACCAGGTCGTTTGGGCCTTCGGAATTCCAGCTAACTTAAAAATAGATGTGTTATTTTCTCTTCTGCTGACAGGATAGCCATGCACGGTTAAAGCCAGTCTGCAGGCGCAATTGGGAATTCTGGCTCCGTGTTCTCTGCAAACCCAAATAGGGGAGATCCGAGCACCGTGCTCAGCCCGAGACTGACGCCCTTATCAATGGCTCCTAAGAAGCTCACCAATTAAAGTGTAACTGTTCGCTGGCGTACAAAGCTTTTAAGACTTACGAACATCTATTTCCACATCGGAATAGCCAAGGGAGACTTGCAAAAGATTAACAGCCATCCTATAGCCAACAGGTAGGACAGGCAAGTTCTCCTCTAATATCGCCATTTACACATAGAGAACACTTGCAAAAATCTGCAAATGCCAGTTTCCGGGGGGAAAAACAAACAAACAAAACCATCAAATTCAGTTTCCTCCTAATGTGCTTTTGCTGCAGGTTTTGATTACCTGTTTGTTCTTCTGGGTGTTTTGGGTTTGTTTTTTTTTTTTAAGTTGCCAAAAAACCCCCCCAAACCACTAAAGTGGAATACTTTAGTAACAACTACTATGGCAAATTCCTCTCTCTAAATCCAGATGTTTTTCTGTACTTTCTAAAATGGCAGATGAACTTACTGCAAGCATTGGAAAAATGGAACACCACCACATCCTAGTCAAAAAGGTAAACATATAAGTAATACTAGAACAGACTCTAATAAAAAACCTTGACCATGTCCAGAAAAAAATAATCCTTAAAGAAACTGTTCTTTTGGAGCAACGTGCAGTTGCAAACTGTTTCTTATATACTCGTTAGAGTGTTATTTTCCCTGACTTTAAACATCTGGCCAATAGGAAAATAAAGTTCCACTGTTTGTTTGGTTTTTTTTAAGGGTGGGGTGGTGCATGGTCACATGTGTGTGAATTTTAAGAAGTTCTGAAGAGAAGGAACAGTGAACAAAAACACCAACTATTACACTCCCTTCTTTCTGATCTGCCTCTCTGGAGAAGTGGAACAGGCCTTTCTTTTGCAACCCAGTCCTGTATCTTTGCATCATCTACTTGAAAGAGCAAACTTCTCCCATTAAGTGAATTGCAAATGTGGGGGGGCGTTACATTTCAATCTTCATGGGCTGCTTGACTACATTTGGAAATCTTCAAAGTTTAGGGTTTGGTCTTTTTTTTTTTTAATCCAGAACCTTTAATCATTTCTTTAAAGATACTCCAGAAAAACATTTCTTTGTTTCTGTTTGATGTTAAGTGCCTGCATGTTTAATTCACTTTGCAGGTCTTCAGACACAACAGTCATATATATTGACAGCACCATAAGAGTAACAACTAGATTTTCTTATGTCTATTTACATATTTGAAATTATTACTGTAAATGTGTGGTCTTCCTAAGAAGATGAGTTTTCTTCTTCATAATTACGATTTGTTTCTGGGGTTTTTTAAGAGACAAAAAATTTAAATCCTTTACATATTCAGAGTTTCAACATGATTCTAGATTTCAGGTGGAGTTGTTGTCCAATGCTAATGAACTGAAAAATTATCAATGGGAAAACCTCTGGATTTTTAACAGTACAAACACTGCTTTGCATTTCTTTTCAGATGGAAGCAATTATTAATAATTTAAGGCACTGATTGCTAGTACATCCTTTTTTGAGATCATTGAACAGGCAGCTTTGAATAGGGCATCTTAAATTGGAGGCCATGAAGCACTCAGCCAATTTTAATCAAAGTATTATCCTACTGACATTGCCTTCCTCTCTGAGAAATGATTGGGCATTTTTCTTGAATTACCACTTTCTAGGAGTCCATTCAGTATTTATCTACCAATTTATGTCTTGTGAATAACACTCAGAGAAGTAAAATACGGCAATACAACTGATAGCTGTAAACAACTATTGTCCTGGCTAGATGTATCCCAAGACACTTTTTCAACAACCAAAAAAACCTACATCCACATAAATCTTGAACCACACATACATGTGAAAAGATCAAATTCTTTAGATCTCTCTTCAGTTCATTCATCGCTTAAACTACTTTTTTTCCCAATACATGCACACATGTGAGAATTTCACATTTGATTTACAATGCATTCATCTTCATTACGAAACTACTGAATTGTTAGTTACTTGGTTAGAATGACTGACTAGATGGGATCTCATCCTCAATGCTTCAAGGTTCTTAAAATAAACACCCAATTAGTTCTCTCTATACAACCAAAAAAATTTGGAATAATGACTCCCCCCAAAAGAAGATAAAAGTGATATGACAAACCCCACCCCCCCAACTGAATACTTACAAGAAACTAGACTACACATTATATGAAAAGAACTGTGATATCTATAGAAATCAACTGTTTCCTGGGGAAATGGCCTAATATTTATTGCACCTCTTTGTACAAGCACTCTTCCATTGTTCTAGCAACAGCAGAGAACCCTGGCTGGCCTCATGCTGACCTATAATGTTTATATGCCAAGGCATTTATCAACTTTATAAAAATCCAATAGACAAATTAGTATGTAAAAGGAAGTAGACTTCCTCATTACAACTGTTTCTTCCTGCTATTGCCTCCTATATCTTGAAGGAAAACAAATGGTATCACAGTCTACCCAGACATTAAAAAAAAAAAAAAATTCCTTATTATCCACCAAGAAATCTCTTGGAAACGCTTTTGGGGAAAACAGAGTGAATAAAATTACCATGTTTGTTTGGTTGGCTGGGGGGGGCAGGACACACAGGAAATTAACTCCCAGACATGCTAAAAAAAACCAACCACCCCAACAAGCAACTGAGAAATATGTTCTCAGAATAATAAGCATCAGAAAATGAGATTTATATTTAATCATTTCCATTGGATTAAAAAGAAAGCACTGATTAAGGCCAGTGAAAATGAATTATACTGGATGTTGTATGCCAGCACAGAGTCATCCAAAAAATAACAGAATCACCAAACAATAGAACCATTTGGGTCATAAGGGACCTTTAAATATCATCTAGCTCCACCCCACCTGCCATAGGCAAGGACACCTCCTACCAGACCACACAGCTCAAAGCCCTGTTCAGCCTGGCCTTAAATGCTTCTCTGCTCAACCTGTGCCAGTCTCTCACCAACCTCCTAGTGAACTATTTCTATGTCATATTTAATCTAAATCTACTCTCTGGTCGTCTGAAGCCATTGCCCCTTGCGATGTCACTGCAGGCCTTGGTCAAAATCACTGACCTGGTGAACAGGAGTGTCCTTAGGTCTTGTACAGAGAACCTAGAGCAGCCAGAAGTGGTTAGCCTTGGCCACTTCCCAAGGAGGCAGTGGCACATGACATGCACAAGGAAGGACAATCTGTTCTAGCAACCTATGCAGACAAGGTTTTGTAACCAAAACACACCAGGACAGGACAGCTGTGGCAAGGACAATCATTATATCCTGATTACCTGATAATTTATCAAGAAGCTGTAAGCCTCCGAAACAATACTTACATTTTCCATCCTGAAACACCGTATTTCAAATAGATCCAAGTGCTACAAACTAGAGACGTCGTCAAACAACTGCTTGGGAGACATGTGAAGCTTTAGATCCAGGTGCTACACACGAGAGACCTTGTCAAACAACTGCTTGGGAGACATGTGAAGCTTTTACACGACTCAGCACCCAGCTGAGCCACTGCTGCCAGAAAGGACATCCTAAGAACAGGTAACTCCCACTACACATACGCATGACCTTGCACACAAGTAGGGAACTATTACTGCTGCTGCTGGCATAACACAACCTAGGTTTTTTGTTTTTGTTTTTGTTTTTTCCACACTATGGTTGAGCACTGAAAAACACTCAACCTCTCTATTACAGATCTCACATAACAACAGACAGGTAGGAATCCATCTGCACTGTACATATACTCTCTAAGAAAGCCAAAACATTGAAATGAAGCTGCTTTGTGGAACAGAACGTTTTAAATGCCCCTGAAAAAAGTGAGACCGTCATGGAACTGCTGCTTCATCAAATGTTCATCAAAATGCACCAAGAAGGGATACAAACACTCTTCATCTTTCTGCAGTCTAATTCACTGAAAAGTTTAACATGAACAAAATTTGGAATTCACTGTGGAGAGAAAAAAAAATACCACAACAAAACCCAACAGATTGCTTTCACTATTTTAAAAACAGTGCAGAGGCTGTAAGTCAGCAAGAGAGCTCTCTACTGGAAAAAGTATATAAAAAACCCTAACGCGGTGGCCAAAACAGCCACAAACTCCACATCTATTTTTTTTCTTATCTACCCAAACACAGCCAACTTGATACATAAGCTCTCTAATGTTGAAATATTTGTTAAAAAAAAGCAATAATAAGATATATATATACATATTTCAACTTCATGAAGTATCATAACAACTTATGCAACAAAGTTATAAAATACAAAAGGCTAATCAGAAATCTGTCCATATCTTCTGTGACGTTAGGAAGTTGGTACTAAAATTTTGGCACTTTTTAGACAATTTTTTTTACACAGGTTCTTACCATAAAAGTTCCTGTTCTGCTGGGATGCTGAATGTAACACATTCTCAGCTCTTCTGTTTGACAAATTCTGTTCACTGTTGAAGAAGCATACATGTCATGAACTATTAGTATATGATTACAAACTTCATCGCCTTGAGCCCATACAAGCATACAAACCTTGGTCTCAGTGAAAATGACTCTAGTTATTTTCACATTTCTACTAACACATCCTCTTCACAGAAGAAAAGAAATTAGAGGGAGCCCTTTAAGGCTTTTACATACTCCCACACATGACAGGCTTTATCAATGCAGAGAAATTCAGCCTGACCTGAATCCTTTGATACAGACAGACAAAAATAAGTAGTTTTGCGAGGCTAATGTTCCCAGCTTGTCCTGGAGATTGAACACCCACTCACTCCAGCCTTACTCTGGAGTACAATGGCAGGATGCCCAATACCCAGCACATAGAAAGAAATTTTATTATCTTAATATCCCATTAGCCTGCTTCATTAAGACAGCTTGTACCCTATTTCAACAACAAAGAAAAAATGAACAACAAAAGTTGCCACCTGTGAGAAAGAACTATCACCTACACTTCTCACCATAAACTAAAGAATTTAATAAAATGTTCCAGAAGTGCTTATTAATAGAGATCACCAAGAAAGTATGACAGACTCGAACACATATTTTCATTAGCAATTGCTAAATGGAACAGATACCACTTATCACCTAATTCATTTGAAAGTTTGGCCAAAAATTGCCTCTTGAGTATGACAAAATGCTACTACCTGTGTGGTACTAGATGCTTTTCGATTTATGATTGGTATCACCCATGTCTGAATTAAATATATATTTTTCAGTGTTAATAGTTTACACCCTGCATATTTCAAAGTTAAACATATAGAAGCATCTGATTCTGACAAGTTTTCAGTTCCCCAAAGCATAAAAATCTCATCAGTACATGTAATCTGTCAGCAAATGCTCTAACTTCTCCATTTTTCTTGTTTGATATTTCACTGTTCATTAAAACTTTGTTGTGAATAACATCAAATTTGTAACTTCTGATTGCCACTTGGCCTATCACTGACAAGGATTTTCATTTTAAAACTTTCTTAGACTGAAAGCTAACTGGAAAATTACAGCAATAAACTCAAGAGGAGGAAAAAATTAAAAAAAAAAAAAATCAAAAAACCATCAGCAAATTTAGTCAATTTTGTTGGTGTAGTTAAATAAAAAGCATGACTTACCAATCCAGATAGGGAGCTGACAAACACCCGGCCACCTCCTTCCTTCTCCAAGGGTACGGCACAGAAGATACACAGTGGCAATTTTTCCAGTTTCAAGAAAGAAGAAAAACCCCCACTTTGTTAATTTAAGGACAGGAAAATAAGAAAAATACCTAAACACACAAAAAAGAAAACCCTAGAAAATACTATTTTTTTTCCACCTTTAAAAGAACTTTCAAGTAATCAGTTTGAATTTTTTTGTTTATGAGACAAAGTTAGAGTGCTTAAAAGGAAACAAGTGGGTATTGCCAGTAAATTCTAATTATTAGTCACCAAAAATCCTTCTGAAAGTCCCAAGCAATAATTTGCTCTCTATTTGCCAAATATTTCAACAATAGTATAAACAGATTACTCATGAATTCAATTTAAATCTATCATGTTCTCTCAAGACATATGCAGCATTTAAACATCCCATTACCCCAAGCCACATTTTTTATTTTCAGTGTTTACAGTTGCCTTGGACAAGACACAGGGTAAGAAGCGATTCTGAATGACCAGTGGATCCCACAGTCAGTCTCCAGTTCAGAAAGCCCACAAAGAAGCTGAATGTTACAGACTGAAAGAATACACTTAAAAACATACCACTCCTTCTGCTGTCATCTGTCATACACATCCGCTACCCGCTACTGGTATAAACTGAATAAACACTCCAAGAACCTATGGCCCTGCTGTAGCCACTCTGAAATCCTTATTTATGCTTCTGTATGCAAAATAAAATAACTCCCTAGGAAACTAAGAACTAAGCAAAGGACTGGTTGTGTTTTCTTGCAGTTCCAAATAATGGAAGACATTTCAATTCATATAGAAGCTGTATCATGTATGTTTTATATAAAGAGAAGTTTTGTTAACTTGCTACAGTAATTTACTGAAGTAATTCTGAAATTTTGCTTCTCGGCTTGGTGAAGTCAGAAACTTTTCACTTCCTGGTATTTTACTATTCTATTCCCTGTAAAACAGTTCTTTGTGAAAAAGTTTGCTGAAAAACTTGCTCAAATACAGCAGTCATTTGTGAACAGGCTTCGACTCACAACTATGCTCTTCAATTTTATGCATATAAACAAGACTTGAACAAACAACATATGGGTTCTAGCAGCAACTATGTTCCACATAAATTTTAAGACAAACAAGAAAAAATTTCTATCATTCGTATCATTTAAGGTGGAAGGGATGTTTTCAGATTACCTACTCCAATCTCCCTTATTCAAGCCCACTGCTCAGGACCACATCCTGTTATCTTATGAGTATTTGCCCAGAGACACCACAACATCTCCATGCAACGTATTGTGACTTGCACACATCAAATTATTATATGAAGTTTTAAGAAGTTAAGTAAAATCTGGCTACTAACCACATTTTTGGCCAGTTTACTAAAACTAATTCCAGAACAAAGACTGGTAACAGTATACAAGATTCACCTACTGCCACTCCCACCTCCTAGGCCAGGAGCTGTCTGTACAACTGTTCCAAGTATGATTTATACACACACTTGCACTGCATTATAGAGGGCAAGTTAGCCACAGTCGAAAAAACCTTCTAACTAAATCAGCAATTATTTCAAACTAACACACCCTGCCTCTCGGCAGGGCTTAGCAGTTGTGGCTCAGTGCCACAATAACATGGTTCACTGTCTTCCAAACAGAACTAGTGTTGCAGCCTCAGTGTGAAAGTAAACCTGACACTTAATTGTCCACACCCTTATTTCTCGATACATTTGTAGCTTTCTCCATGCCTGACATCAAGCAGATTTTCTTATTTTTTTTTAAACAACACAGGAACATTAGAAGAACTTATTTTTCTGTCGATACAACCCATGTGAGTTCTAAGAGCATTACCTGCAGGAAGCACCGTCTTTAACATTCTTGACATCGGCTGGATTATTTCCTTCAATAACAGGTGAGTCTGGGTTTGCAGATCCATTGCTGATATGATCACTGCTTTCGTATCCTGATTCCGTCCTCTGAATTTGCCAGTTGTCACCATGGATTTTTCTCTCTGTAAATCCTTTGCTTTTTTCAGCATTCCCTTTTCCCTCCGAATCCAGTGAGCTTCGACTCCCTGTATCCTGTTTTGTTTCATCTTCATATATAGTCATCAAACCTTTCTGGATTTGGTTCTCTTTCGGCCAATGATTAAAGCTTCGCTCCTTCTCATGCTTAGACCTACTGTTTGGATTTGCCTTGTGCTTTGGGCTATGCTGTTTCTTCTCAGTCTCGCTGAAAATGCTGTCTACGTTGAGCGTCTCCCGCATCGGTTTCCAACCTTTACTCCTGCTTCTGCTGCTGCTGATACTTCCTTTGTCCCTTGAGTCTTGACTGGCATCCGTATCGTACCCAGTGACACCATCAATCCGGGTCCTGATCACTGGTTTCTCCCCAGCAGGAAAAGCTTCTGTTTTATTTGATCCAAGCACCTGTACAGAAAGCTTTGCTTGCTGAGGTGCACTGTCGTGCTTAGAGGAGCCTCGTCCCTGGCTGCTGTACAGGCGCTGATCAGCACAGTGTCTAAACCCATTTCCAACCGGAGGAGACCCCGACTTCACATAGGAACGATCTTCCCCAATCAGATCTTCCAATGAGAAAAAACAAAGAAGCTCCATTAAACCCCTCAATATTTAACCATTATTGTTACAGTACTCAGGCTGCTTACACTATCTCAACAAATCCAGAACCTAGTGCAGAATACTGAATGCTGGGAAACACCTACTCTCACACTGTTCTCTCAAAAGGAGAAAAAAAAAACCTGCACAGCTAGTACTGATGCTAAAAGCTATTGAACCCATTGATTCTCTAGCTGTATTTTGAAAAGGTACCTCTTTGTCTCCCAGACTCTTTTCTTGGTCCTCGGTCTGCATCTTTTCGTAAAGAGGAGATGTTTTTCATATCAGCAGCTTTCTGAGCACACTCTCTGGACAAATCCTTTAGCCTGTCCTTTTGATCGCTGTAACCTACCTTAACTGCAAAAAATTGTCAAAGTTTTTGTCAAAGGTGATTATTATAAAGACCTTCATCATCAATACACACAAATACATTATTAAAAAACTACATGTTATGGCACATGTTAGCACTATTAAAAAAGACTAATGAATTACATAACAGATTACGAAAATGAGATATGTAGTAAAGACTTATATGTGTAGTTATTTCCAAGGAGTCCACTAAATAAAACAAATAAAACGAACTAAAGTAGCATTTTACCAAGTATGTTGTACAATCAGCTCTTACTTATTAAAACTGCACGCTCAAACCATTTTCAAAGCACATACTACTTACAGCCAATCTTACGAGTTCTACGGAAAAAATTAATCTGAGTTTAACATTGTTTAAATGTGAAGATTCATGAAAAGAAATCCTTCTAATTGGAAAAAGTAAAAAAATCATAATGGAAAAAAACCCCCACATTTCTCAGTCACTCTGTCACGAAGAGTTATCAAGCCGAGCCTTCTCAGCTTTAAAGAGTCTGGGAATTCAAGAATAAAAAGGGGGAGAAGCACATCTCAGGAGGAAGGAGCATCTCTCTGCCTGTGAAGTACGGAGAGTTTAAAGCAAAGGCACTGACAAATAATGCAGAAGTCACCACCGCATATGACTTCTTACAGCTTTATTTGCTTGGAAGCCTAATGTAGAGCTAGAATGGATTTTTTTAGCAGGCAAGACAACTTTTTACTAATCTTTCCAAACCTAAGACCAAGTCCATATCACAATACTACTGTATTGTATTAATACTACTGTATTGTATTAAGGAACAGCGTTCCTTAAACGGCCCATGATCCACAGAGCCGCACCACATGCTCCTAAAGCTCAAACTTGAGTTTCTAATGCACCTTTAACCAACCACATGATTGGAAGGCTTGATGATGGTAGAGACACGGATCAAGGCCTCAAGATGGACTTCAGTGCAGGAATAACCAAGGGTAACACAAGTTTGCATTTTCAGTTCTCTAAAGAAGTCAAAATTCCATGACAGATATTACTTAACCAGTAGATGTTGTTCAAAGATTCATTCCAGTCGATGGAATTCTTCTTTGAGAGATCATTCTAATCACAAATTAGCACACACCTGAAACGCTATCCACTGAAACATTTCAAAACAAAACGTGTTTCAGTTGTTTTTCCAGAGTTAGAGTGGGGAATACATACCTGGACCTTTACCACCACTAGCTTGAACATGGCTTCGACCAAATGCTGAATTATCTGGCTGAAGTTTTTTATTACTCCTTTGACTGGTGGGGTCTCCAATTCCATTCTCTTTCACGTGGTCCGATTTCAGAGCAGAATGCTTTTCAAACCCTATCAAATAATATATCTACCTTTAGAAATTTCCCAACTTAAAATTTCCAATATGTAAATCTAAAAGTAAGAAAACTTGATTGTTGAGGAATAAAAAAAAACTAAAACCAACACAAAATAAAAATCTCCCCCCCCAAAAAAACTACAGTACATCTCAATATGCTAGGCAATATCATCCTGTAATATTTTATAGACTGCCATATTTATAGTGGTCGACTGTAATGGAATTCTTTCTTCCCTGAATCACTCGATGTCCTGCTGCTACTACTTACTCTTTAATTTACTTATATGTTACATTTAACATTTTAAAAAAATTAAAAACCCAAAGAAAACTATACACAAGGCAGAAGTACAAACTACCGAATCAAAACACCTAATCCTTAGATATTGAGACCTATGCTATATGAATCGTGGAGAAAAGTTTTCTGCAGCTCCTGCTGATTTTTCACAAAATTCTGAACTGAGCTCTCTCTTTCTCTGTGTGTATATGTACACATATAGACAAACACTTGTGCTCCAAATGTACCTCCAAATTTGTAGGAAACTTTAAAGTATCTTTCCAGAGCAATTTAAAATATTAAAATTTTTCATGTATCAATATACACATAAAAATATCAATCCATATAAATATACTAAAATTTTCTTCTGAAATTACTAAAGTTCCGTAACTATGGATAATCTCAATAGAGAATCTTTTTTCCCTGTTATCCATATGTCTCGATTTGTATTCCCTTACCAAATACAAAACAAACAGTTCTGATGTTGAACATATACTATAATCTCTCTTCTTTTGAGACCCTTTAGATAATTTTCTATACAGGTATTGAAGAACAAAGGAGCTAATCCATTACCTCCTCCTTTATAATCCCCTTTTCAGAAATATAGTTGACACTGCTATTAAAAAAAAATAAAGAAAATATGTCTTAATACCCAAGTCTTCCCCATTTCCTCCTGCTGTTTTGCACTGAGACCAGTGGATAATCTGCTTCGGAGCATCTTCTGGAGATACAGCTGTGCCATCTGGGTTAGCATAAAACAGCAACAATGGCTGGAAGTGACATCGAATGCACCTGGAGACCACATCTTTCCATTTTGTTCCAATCTAAGAAAAAACAAAAACACAAAACCAATATCCAAATTTACCAGCAGCCTTGAACCCAATTACGGAAAGGATAATTTATTAAGCAACAAGCACCAAATGCCTAATTCAAAAGGCACATTAGGATTCAACATTTTGACACAAGTTCATTTACACTGTAGCAAAAGTCTAAACCTGGTATTGCATGAGTTAACAGAACATGAATATTATGAATAGAGTTGCCAGTAATTAGTAATTTTTCATTAGAAGAAGTACAAATAAAACAGCAGACAAGTGCATTAACATTCTGAAACATTCGCCATTTGCAATGCAGAAACGTGAAGCAGTGAAGTTAATTCTGAAATTCAGTTGTGAAAACTAACTTCTAAAACTTAAAACTTGACTTCATTAAAGACACTTGTTCAACTTGTTTTAAGTCGGGTGTCAGAAGAACATGTTTTAGAAAAGGAAACATCACTAAATTCGGTAGCAGTGAAAATATTTACCTCTTTTACATTAGCATCATCAAACAGCACCCATTTGCAACTCTTGGTGTGAAAGGCAAAGGCACAGTAATGTCGGCTCGTGTAGCAAATCATTCCCACAAGAAAAAGTTCACTATTTTTGGCATTTTCATCTGTAACTCTGTAAAACAGCTGTAAAAACGGTTATGTATTTTAAAATGTGTCAAATGGCCTCAGTTTCCAGACCTACCCCTGGCATTTCACTGAGGCCACTAGTATTAAATATCCTGTTGCATTATGCAATTTTTGCAGCTATTAGGTCTATTTTAACATCTACTTTTACAGTGTTTAAAAGGTAAAATAATAATGCTTTGGAATAACTCCACAAATTAGCAAGTGAATATGCCATTTCTAGATTTTCAAGCTAGGAATTCACCTACGTTCACCTTTGTACTCAGGCACAAGATCAACACTTCTGAAGGGACTTTCACAGAAACTACACCTAAGCAGCACATTATCAAGAATGGTAAAAGTAGATGTGAACTTCAAAGTTGAATTGTGCTTTTCAAAAAAATACATATGTAAATATACTTATATATTTTATATATTTACATAAACAAAAAGTAGATGTGAAATTAAATTCCACAATAAGCAAATACTAAGTTTTAAATCAGATACCCCAGGAAGATAAAGCTGCGTTGCCAGATTCCGCATAACCTCTTCTGTCAGGTCGGAGTGTTCCGAATCCCAGACTAAACCGATTGTGACAATCTCAGGACAATTCATAAGAACACGACGAATTTTTATTTTTTGACCACAGTTACTCTAGGAGGGGAAAAAAAAAATATCGGAGGGAAATCAAAGACGTAAGTCCAAAGTTAAGTTAATACACAAGAAATAGTGCAACAAAACAACTCTAAAATTTATTCTCAAATTTAAATATGGTGCTTACTTCTAGCAATTTCAGGATTAAATTCTTTATTAGAAAATTACTCTGATGAAGAGCACAGCTAAATTTATGCACCCAGTCAGCACCTTAAACCAGAAATCTCTGAAAACATTCAAGTGACCAGCACAATCCTCTTGAATTTCCCCTTCACTTCGTACTTCCAGCTTAGGTCTGTAAGTTCTTGTGTGTTTCTCTATGGTTCCTAACAGTATTAGAACCATTTAAGCAAGAGAGAACTTCAACAGAAAAAGCTAAAAGAGAGTATTTTTCTCAGTAAAAGCACAAAATTATTCCCATAGAAGACCACATTGTGAAGCTGTCATTGTTTATGAACCAAAGCAGTACTCAGAAAACCCACCTGTTTCAAACCAAAAGCACCCAGCTCTATGCTGAATACAACATAAAAAATAAAACACAGACCTAATAACTTTGTCAGCAGGCCAACAGGTACCTACAATACCACCTATATCAATAACTGGAACAATAAAAAGCGAATTTAAAGTTTGTTTCTAGCTTAAGTGGACTGCGTTAAAGTAGCCACAGGTAATCCTGGTTTTAGGGCGACACTTTTGTGTGATTTAGTAACCTACAGAGTACTCCCTTATATCTTAAAGTACCACAGCATCTTGGTTTACTTACAGGACACTTTCTGTAGTCATCAGCAGTATTTGCTGCCTGCAGCAACTCTGCAAACATTTCCGGTTTGAGACGTTCATGCCTCTCCATCATTCTTTCTACTTCATTACTGTAAAAAAAAAAAAAAAATACAGATAACTGTGCATCTCCTTTCTTAAGAGTTAAAAGTTTTCAGTCAACTCTCAGTTAACTTGATCTTATTACTAAGAAGAAAAGAGATAAAATAGTAGCAAAATATTCTTTTTGTCAAGCTCTGTCTACATCTTGCTTTTGAAATTCAAATATTACTTTTAGAATGTACTTCAAAAACGCATTTTAACAAAGGAATACATATTCATTTTTAACATTTAGAGAGTTTCTCTGGCATACTTTGCTTATTATTGAAAGGGTGTATATAGAAAAATGAGATACAAGAATAAAAGTTCTTACCACAGAGCTGTGGTAGAAATATAACGCACAAATTCTGTGAAAGGCAGTGGGTCTGATGATGCTCCACAACTGCGACATACACACTAGAAAAATAAAAACACTTTTGTTTTTATTTAATCAGCACAGTGGAAAAAATTACTTGTTAAAGCAAGCAAATAAAGGTCTGACCTGTTCATAGAGCGTCATCGCAAACTTTTGATGAGAAATACAGGATTTTGAAGTGCATATATCTGTTTCACTGTTTGGCACTAAGTGAAAATGAATCCTCTCAAGGATATTCTCCTGAAGAGAAATAAAAATGTAAAAAATAAACTGAACTTTTTAAGGCTGAATACATAAGCAACATCACAGTTTAACACTGAAACTACTCCCCTCAGCTCCAAATAGTCCACCTGCACGTTTCACATGTATTTAATTCTGCCCCTATTGACAACCCAGTGAATGGGAATTCTCTTCATCTCAAGGTTTTTGAATATTAACCAAAGAGCATTAGACAACAGTTACCCAACTGTTTTCCCAGAATGCTTTCTCATTTGAAAGAAGTGAGTCTTGAAGAAAGAAACATAAAAAAACATTTTTAGAGTAAAACATGATGTAATATCATTGCACACAACGACTGGAATATTTTCTGGATCAAGCCTCTATCTCAGTTCTTGTTCTTCTCGGCCTATCAATCTCATCACATTTAGCTGATCTCTGATTACTTCAGGGGGCCAAATGCACTATGATTAGATGGAGCACTTGTAAGAGGTTCTCATTCATGACTGCACTCCATTAACCTGACTGCAAGATCTCACAGCCACTTCCAGGTGCTCTCTGCTGGATTTTCCTGCATACGTGGAAAGGCATCTGGCAGACAGGTATTCACCTGAGGATACCTCCAAAGAATATTCAAAGCTGAAAGGAATCAAAGCAGCAAGCATATTTTGTGTACATCAAATTGTTGTTTGAAGGCCGATACTCTTTTTTCCTAACTTAATTTATGGTGAACAATTTTCTATGTCTAACAGAGGATTTCTTAGAAAGGCTTCTTTACGAGTTGTCTGTGTGATCGAGTCATCTTTTATGGCTACAGTAATGGCTCAGATCTTTCTGCGAGACACTTCATAAAAGCAGGACGTAACGGCAACAGGAGTCAATAATGTCAAGTATTCATTCACTCTTGGATAAGAAAATGGAAATCTCTTGGCAGTCATGACCTGCCTAGTTGTAATGGAACGTATTTCAAGAGCTGAGGAGAGAATACTTGGAGGAACAGACTACACATTCAAACCCACAGGTGCGTCCTCTCCCAAGAAGATAACCCTCTCTATCCAAGAAATTCTAAGAGTGATTCAGAATTCATCATGCTCACTGACTTCCTATAGTAACCACACTTCACAAAGCTCCTCTGCCTGAGCTGCAGAAATATGTAAGAAAGAAGAGAGCAAATTTATTATTACCCCATCCTACCCTACCAGACACTTACTCCATGGGTCTGTTTCCCTAAACTGGCATGGAGAAGGTATCTCACCTGCGAGCCGGAGGCTACCAAACCAACAGGCCAGCTTGGCACCCACTGAACTAGGGTCATTTTACTCAACCATCACAAAGAACACTTACAAAGCATTCTGCTGCATCGTCCATGAATCCAAGCTGGAAACGCTGTTCATCCTTAAAACTTTCTGCCAGGGCATGTCTCATGTTATCCGATGGGAGTGCTTTTTCCCGACTATGCTGGAATTGTGAAAATATTGCCTAGGAAGAAAGAGGATTGCTTAGCTTCATTAGACACCCGACACTGTGGTTCTAGGCAAATAAATCAGTTCTTACCCAGCATGGCTAAACAGCCAATACAGAAACTCTATGTAACTTTGGAAATTACCATTTTCTCTTCAAGTTACTTAGGTGTCATATTCTGTTATTCACTCCACTGTACATGATACCAAGCAACTTAACTTTGATCCAGACATAGAAATATAGAACAATATAGAAATACATAAAAATGCAAGTGATTGACTTGAGTTCCTAAGAGCAACACAAGCCTTAATCTGTAATTATACAGCTTTGTTAATTTGGGGGACTGGAGTAGCAATTGGTGCGTACGCATCTCCTCTTTACAGATGCTGTATGTGTCTTAGGGCATAATGTAGTATTACTCAGTTGAGTCTAAAATCCCATAATGTATTACATAATGTAATACTTACACTACTTCAGACATGACTGTAACTTGATTAAAATTATGGATATGCAAAAACAATTCCATAAATTCAATAGAATGTTGACAATCCTTATTACTGAATCAGTGCTCTGCTGACCCAGTGCACACAATATGAGAGAACATGTCAATGACTGCAGTTTCAGGAATAAACAGCATTTGATTTTTTCTTCCCTTCCCAGAAGACATAGTTGGCTGCTACTTTTCTTTTTGGCAGAGATACCTATGCACGTGACCTCATCCTGTAACAAGCAAGTGAAGCTGATTTTCTAAGAACTGAAACTTAAAAGCTATTAAAGTACCAAACATCTGCAGATATTAAAAGCTGTATTCCACTATCAGTAATTCTAAGTTAAACTCGAGAGAAAAACAAAAGACAAAGCAAATCAGGAGAAGTCTGATAGGCACATAGACCTCCTCTGGCTAAAAAAAAAATAATAAAAATCTGTTGGACACACAGCAAAGACAAACAGATATGCAAAGTTTCAGAGCTATCAGAAAGTAGTCTTTTAACCATTATGCATTCCACGCTAAGTGTCTGTCAAATATATAAGCTTCCCTCTCATAACAAAAAGCATGGACTACTGATAAAACTTCCAGTCAATACCTCAATGTAAACATGCAAAACTGCAGTAAGAGTACAATGTGCATACTACTAGAAACACTCCTATGCATTTTTTCATGGATATTTTTATCCCAGTGAAACAGAGATGATAGGCTTACAGCTATTTCCCTTGGAACTACAGGCAGCCAAACATCAGCGCAGGAAAAGCAAGAACCTAACAGAACTTGACATCTCTTTGCAGACTTCAGACGAGTTACAAAACCGAAGCTTTAAGCACTAGTGAAGATACACAGATTTGGTTTACTTACAGTTACCAGCTTTCATTAGTTTTCTAGCACCACTACCCGCCTTTCATTACTAAAAAAACTGAACAATTAAGTCCTGTTCCACTGCCATGCACTACTGAGTAAAACACAGAAGCATGAAAACTTATGAGGCAGTAATACAGCTATTGTGAAAGTATTATATTCAAAGCACCAGAAAGAACCCAAGCATATGCATATAAAGACAAGGTAAATATTGCAAAATATCTAGCCATCCTGAGATAAGTTCTACCGTCTTTTAACAGACAAGAGCTTTATGGTTAAGCTGACTGTAAAATTTATTCTTTAAAAACAACAAAATACTTCTGTTGCAAACATCTGTTACAGATTTCCTTAAATCTAAATTGTTTCTTTAAACAAGAATGACTTAGTCACCCAGACACACATATAATACTGATACAAAAAGTAGTTGAACTATTTTTCCCTTATTTTTGAAGACTGTTCTTCCCACAGTTATTTACCTTTAAAGCACAAAATATGCATGCATCTCCCTGGCACACATGTCCAGTTAAACCTCTTAAACTTCGTCGAAATATGTCAAGTTGCCATAATACCTATAAAAAGAGTTACACAGGTAATAAGCAATCAGTTCTGAAGGGTCTATATTTAACACAGCAACATCTATTTTTAAAAACAACCAAACATATGTACAATTAGAGCACTAACACTGTCACAACAATTATGGTCCTTTTCCATTACTTGGGTAAATTGTGGAGGTGGAAGGGGAAGGATGAATTCACCACTCAAAATCTGGATCATGTCTTTAAACTTTTTGAAACAACGTACTTAGTGCGGAAAAAGAGCTGAAATACTCTTACAGAAACAAGCAGCAAGCTAAACTGTACAGAGATTGTATTAAAAAAAAAAAAGCAAGCTCAATTGCTAGGGTAGAGTGAAGTCTATACTACTTTCTTCTGAGGTCTTATTAAAACAATCGCTGAAATAGATTTGTTTTTCCTAGTGCTTAGCCAGGTGTGTTTCTAGCTTTTATTTGTTTATATACTCTCTATAAAATTAATGTCAGCTTGGCTACAGTGCACTGCTTTCAGTATCTACCATCTTGGGTACACAAGCAATGCAGCAGTCCAGAAAGTTGCCTATTGGAAAAAAATAAATAAATAAAATTAAAAAGCCCAAAAATGAGTTCTCAAGAGGCATAGAAACACAGTTACAGCCTAGGAAAAACCCCATCACTTATCTATAAAAGCTAAAATCAATTATAACGCGTTTGAAAATAAACGTGTGAACCTCAGTTCTCAAGGTTGAACAGAGGTTAAATGAGGAGAAAAGGAGAGAACACATTCCTTCTTGTAAAAGGGCAGTTACCAACCAACAGCCACTGTTGGATAAACAGCAGTAGGTTGTGAAGTAGTAGGATTGTCTGAAACTATAACTAAAAATGACTTAGGGTTTAAATTTAGGACAGCCTAAGGGAGAAAAGCAAAACTGCAAGACAATATAGGTCATGCTGTTCCCATAGAATGTAAACCAGCAAACTCATTCGTCTACATCTATTGTACCTTTTTATTTTTAAACATATTTAAATGCCATACACATAGGTACCATGTAAACACAGCTTTCATCTCCTATGTTTAAATACTGAGCAGTTTTAAGACTTAGTTTTTAGAAAGTCTATGCATCTATTAAGCCCTCTGCCGGTTTAGCAAATAATTCTGTAGAGTTTGAAAACAACCACATCCAAAAGCTAAGTATTACAAAGAAAATAGATACTGTTCTGCTCTCCATTCGCACAGTTTAGAAATTTCTTGTTGTTAACTTCTAGATTCAAAAAGACTAAAGTAAAACCCAAACTGTGTTTAGCATTCTGACTTGCAGACGTGGAAAGACTAGCAGTGTTCAGGGACAGAATTAAACAGATCCCTATACACTCCCCGTCACAACCAGGCCTCTAAAAGCTCATTTTTTTAGCATGCAAATGTCACTGGACCACTACACCACATTCAAAAGACGTGAAGAGTCAACATTTCTCTTACTCACATCTCATGTGAAAACAGAAAAGTATGTAGGTAAACACATCAAGAAGTTAGCAGGTGATGTGTGGGCAAATAAATAGCAAAAAGAAATCTAAGTCATGTTTCTTTGATGCCAACGAAATCTAATTCCACAATTCTCTTCCAAGATCAGAATCAAAGCTTTCAACTGTATGTGTAGCTTCTGATGTGCCAACTCTAAGAAAATGGTACTTAGGTTTTTAATTAAACAATGATCTATCGATACAATTAGTATTCAATACAAGTAATAGTACTGATTGCCCCACATTTAAACATGTCTTGTAAATTCTGTCAAGTAATAAACTATTTTATTTTGACAGGAACATTAGCTTTAAATGCAAGCAACAAGTTTTAAAATTGTAAGTTAGAAAAGAAATTTTCCAATTCTGTGCAAACAACATACCATGCTATCTTTTCTGACAAAATTCAACAATTAATGCTCTCAATTACTTCTTTGGAATTGTTGTCTTTTGTTCTACAACTGCCACATACTCTTCTTCCTCTTGTTCTTTCCAGGAAAGTTCATTTTCCTTACTTGGAATCATTAAGAAGTTTCAATTTATCACTAGTGAAAAACATGCTGCATTTTACTGTAGAAGACATATATCACAATATTAAGGGAACACTTTTCCTACTATGACTATCTAAGCTGATTAAAAAAACCCCACAACCGTTAGAGAAATCAAGTTTTTTCTTACCTGAACAGCACTATTAAGAAAGCAGCTGTTCTGTCCCGGTTCGTTCAACAAGCCTTTTGTAGGGGCCAGGGAGAGTATACTTCCAGGCTGATAAACTTTTCCAAGGTTACCTCCAGGTTTTCTTAAGAATTTCACCCATGCCATTATTTTTTAGATTTTATAATTGCAGTATTTATGCCTAAATGTTTAAGGATATGATGGGTGCAAGGCAAACATGAAGGTCATAAGAGAATTGCTCTCAAGTCACGGCATTCTGTTCAATTCTGTGCAATAGTAACCACTTAGGGGTTGAAGATCATTTTTTAAGAACAGCCGTCATCCACTTACCAGGATGAGTCTCTCAATTATAATACAGCTCTACAAAATTTTTGACTCCTAGGCTTATAAAAAAATAAAAATAAAAGGTGTCCAGTTAAGGTTAAAACATATCTAAAAAGTTATTCTAATAAAAGTTCTTATTGAGCAAGTTGCACAGTTAACTATCTTCTTCTGGGGACACCAGTAAAATATTACATATCATTAACTGTATTACATTGCAAGTTTATATATATATATCACAAAAATGCAAAGTTCTTCAAAGGTGTTAGAATCTTCTCATTTCTTCCCATCTTCTGTTTAACTGTAACCCATGAAATATAATCCAGTTTAGGGGACTCCATGTTTACTTCATTCTCTTTCCAGTGAATCTGAAATAGGAAAAAAAAAACCAGAAAATATGAGAACATAATCTTACAGAACATTACAGACCTTCTAAACCAGAAGGGAGATCATAGTAAAAACAACCTTCTAATCTAAAAGCAGATGCAATAACTAGCGAAGAAAAATAGAAATAATTACCATCTAAAAGGTGTTTTTAAGGCAGAAAAAAAAAATAACTTGTCCAACCTGTCATAATCAATTAACTTCTTACTTATTATAAACCTCTAAAGATCACCATAAAATTACTGCCAACAATATGCAACAGCTTATAAACAGGCCACATAACACAAGTTACCCTAACTTGGAATCTCCCCATCTAATAAAAGTACTAAAAAGAAATAAATACGTTGATCCAATACTTGAAAGCCTAAGAGAGTTTTGACTTCAATATCCCAGCAAATCCCAAGAACTGCTATGTCTTAAAATTACTAAGATACTATAAGCTGAATTCTCTGCTAATACTCAGCTTGCAAGATTTTGTACTACATATTAAACACTACATAAATACATCAGTATTTGCATTTTTCTGGAATCCAGAAAAACGTAGGTAATAGCACAGCAATAACATTCTAGTAGCTGCCTCAAAAAGCGATTCCAGGATTTTCCAATTCCAACAGTAAGAGTTGCTTCTCTCCATTGCTGAAGTTAGATATTTAAAAGTTAAATGACTCATCCAGAACGCTACCACATACACACGTCCAGTCCATGCAACAATCACTCACAGTTTGGCGTTACTACACATCTGCATAAATCTGTGAATTAACAGCACAGAACAGAATAAACTGAAATAAACCAAAGTGATCAAGGCTCCACATTTGGGCAAGAACTTCAAAACTTGCAGCCTTCTCACTACAGTTTTTATCACCATACAAGCCTTGAAAGATTGGTGAACAGCAGTAAAAAACAAAACTAAATTTCATTTGGAAAGCTCTTTAAATGGCAAGATAATTTCCCCACCTCAGAACAACCAACAAGACGTTCACGTCAAACTGTTCTATGGCGCTCCTACTACGTTGCTCAGGTAGGACACCGTGGAAACAAACCTGCGTGACTGCCAAAAATACTGGCACTAAGTTTAGTATTCCTTAACTCAGTCACCTTTTTTCAAAAGAAACGAGGGTACTAGCTTGTATCACCAAAAGAAAAATAAAATAAATCAACAACTGGAACCTAACCCAAAGTCGCTTTTGTACCATGCATAATCAGATGGGTTTTGTTTGTTTACTGATGCTGCTGTATCTCACCCATAAGTAATTTGATTTAATAATACTGGAAATAGTAAATGTGATGTGTGACAGCACTGAGCAAGGGGTCTGAATCTAAAGGAAAACTGACCTTGGCACAGTATCATGTGACGATTTTGTTTTCTTTATGTTCACTTCAATAGACCCAGAAGGAAGACGGGAGGAAGAAATGTAGACAGGTAACTGGAAACATCCGTTAGTTTATGATGTTTTTAGAACCTTGAATAAATTCAAAGGACTATCAATTTCATTTTTTCGCCCCATATAAAAGTCAAATTGCTTCACAGCATAACAGCTATACTTCTACAAAGGCCTAAACTCTAAAAAAACAGGGACAGAGGTGAAGGAAGAAGTAAAACAAAAATTATGCAGAAAAGCATTGAAGATTCTCTTCAGTCAGGTAAGCACAAGTGTAACATGATCTGCACCAAGTAATTAAAGTAAATATTTTTAAGAAGTATTTTCATTACTAAGTCTCAGTGCAGGACATCAGTAGAAAGGAATGAATTGCTACTGTAAAGATGAAAAAAGACAGGAAAAATACCTGAGGAATATATCTGTTTAGAATCAGATAAATATATATGCACACATACATATACATACCTATTCAAGAAGCCAGTATCGCACATGAAAAGCACTTTGCAATACAAAGCGTCATTTCACCCAAAGTCTCTTGCTATCACAGGGAATCATATCTTAAAAATAATAACTACAACTTAAAAAATAAGTTTAAAAACCTATTGAAGAATCTTACATTCAACTCGTTAAACCACCTAATACTTTCTACTGATTTGAATATTTCTACATCCATATTGAAAAACTGACCTAAGAGATTTCTGCCCCCAAGGGAGCTTGCTCCTTGACATACAAGAGAGGCTTCTTCACCACGCATTTTCCTAGCAATAAAAAGTTCTCAATTCCACTTCATATAATTCCCCATATGGAGAATTAGGTACAGTTTTCTCCACCCTCCTGCTGCTGTGCCAGAAGACAAAACTGAAGTTTAGATGAGCAATTTTGGGTAATCAGCAATATCAAACTGGGTACACTGAAGGTGAAATAAACAGGGAAGAGACTGAATTGGGAAGAGTACAGATGGCTGGTAAAGTGTAAATCGTATTTGCACTCCAACACTTGCTTGAGATGTCCCTGATGGTGTTCCTACCTTGGAATAGAGAGGAGCAACAGGACCAATGCATCTCAGACCCAGAAGCACCAAGCTTGCTATCAAGGTCTCCCAATATAAAACAAATTTGCTACTGTACATACTTCACCTCTCAATTCCAAAACTGCTCCTACAGAGGTACCCCACCAACAGTGGCAATTCCACCAATGGCTAGGCTGTCGCCCACTGTCTGCGTTCCAATGTAAAAGATTGCCCAGAATATAGCAGCCAAAGTAATGGAAGGAAACAGATGTAAGACAGACTCTATACCACTGATAAAATACAGAAATAACTGAGACAAGACATGTTTCTGGGATCTGAATTCCACTTGGAATCAGATCTCGCATATTAAGCTGTGAAGTTGGACTAAAGTTGGTTATTTAAAGAAATCCAAGGATAGAAAAGAATGGCAGGATTCATTTCCAGCCACCAAAAGATAAAAGTTGAATCCTTGCTTCCTAACTAAGTTAATTTCTAAAGTGTAATGACAGACCCCAAATAACATTAAATTTGGGAAACATTTGTGTTCTTTTTTCCTTGAAATGCAAAAGGAAGACCACCACAAACGCATCTGTGAAACTGACACCAAAGACCAACAGAAAAATATCATAAAACATACATAAACTTTAACTCCCTAGTTCTCATTTGCAGCCTTGGAACTGCCTTGGGAAGATGCCAGCAAGAATGTTTTTTAGTCACAGTAAGTTTTTACAGATTTGGACCACGCTCCAACAGTATTATCCTTTTGCTGACAAGCATATCTCCACTGTAGATTCCATAAACCATGAGGTTTAAAGTGTTCCACAAGGAGTTGCTGCTGCTGAATTTTAGTTCCTTCCATCTCCCCTAACGTTTGCTTAAGATTTTAGATGATGGGGACTCAGACCACTGACTCCCTTAACATAAATTCAACACTATAGACTATAATTAAGAACTGGAGACTGTTCTTACGGGTCTGTGGTAAGCCAGCATTGCTAAAAACACCGTATTAATAGCCACGAGAGGTTACCAGTTCTTTATAAGTTCTTGGCTTGACAAAGGTGTGGGTGACCAAGGATAAGTCTGTGAACCATATAAAGTCCTCAGTACATGCAGTGTTTCAGCAGAACAGTTACTTCACCATGTTCTTCACATGCTATGTAAGATTTTTTAGCACCTGAGAGTCAGAGAAATGTTCTTGCTCTTATGACTAAAGGGATCGATTTTGGATACTGTTGTCAAAGACACGAAAACAAGGACTACAAATGCTCAAACCGACACTTATTTATCAGCCTAAGCTCTCCTGCCCTGCCTAACATCAGTCACTGTTCTTCAGTCATCAATAATCTTATTAAGCACCTGGCTACCCTTAGCTGCACAGCCTTATAGGACAAAATATACCCTGGTCACAAATCCCTGGCACTTGGCCTGACAGCTTCCAGAACAACAAATACACTAATCAGCAAAAATGCATTTTATCACCTGTTTTGTTGGTACACCCTGGCATGCAAGTAACCACAGCTGGCACAGCCTTTGCTATGTAAGAAGTAACATCGTTATTTTAGCTTGAAAATCACTGCAGTTACTAATTTACCTAAACAAATCACCTTCTGCCAACACAGTGGGTTTAGGCATCTTGACTATCCATTTTGACAAAACCTCTGAGATAAACAGTTGGTTCTGTGAATACCAGAACTATCAATGCCTGGCTCCTGATACTTTCACGTCTCACAGCTGACTTCTTGCACAGTTTTCTCCCTAGTTGGGGCACACACCAACTCTGCTCCTCCCCTCTTCTCACAAGGTCTCTCTCTTCCAGCCAGCTGCCTGTTTTCATGCACTTTAGAAATATGCAATCATCTTTAAGACTTCCATCCCCTCTGTCACATTGGGTGGAAACCTGCCAATGGGTACACAAGTTGTTGACTCTGTGTCTCAAATTTGGCTGAAGAATCATTATTTACATCTTCTCAGCTGCTTCATTTTGCAGCTACTCTGTGTGTTGCATAAATAACTAACAGCAAAGCTGTCCCATGGCCAGCGCTAAGGTTACTTTT